ATTGTGATTAGGGGTGAGGCCTAAGATTTACATTTCTAACAAACTCCCACGTGATGCTCAGGCTGTTGGTTCAAGGTCCACAGTTTGAGTAGCAAGGAGACGGATGTCCAGATTCCTGCTTCTCCAGTTCACCAGCCCGGGGCAGATCACACCCTTGTGTGGGCTTTGTTTATGAAGAGGGAGCATGCTGTATTCTCTTTCTTGGTTCCTCATTTGCCCTAGACCTTGTGGTGATTGCACCAACTCCTAAATGGAAAAATTTTTCTTTCTCCATCCTTTGCTTGATTCACCTAAGCCAGCAGTGCCTCAGGCTCAGCCAGGGAGCTATTTAAGGTGCAGATTCCCTGAAGCCCTGGAAATCTTTTTAACAGCACTCCAAGTAGTTCTCATACAGGTGGTTTAAGGATTATCCTCTGAAATGCTAATCTAAACCGGCCCAGTTCCATAGAAATATAATGTGAGCCCATGTGTAATTTTTAATTTTCTAGTAGCCACATTTTTTTAAAAGTAAAAAGAAATAGGTGAAATAAACTTTCACAATATGTTTTATTTAGCCCACTAGATACAAGCTATTCTCATTTTAGTTTGTAATCAGCATTTACTTTTTTGTACTAAATCTTTGAAATCTAGTGTGTATTTTTTAAGTTTTTCTTTTCTAATTACATTTGACATTAAAAATTACTTTATATTAGTCTCAGGTACACATCATAGTGGTTAGACAATTACATGATTTACAACGTGATTCCCCCCATTAATTTACCCACCCAACACCATATCTAGTTATTACAATATTATTGACTATATTCCCCATGAGTATTGTCTGACTGCCAATTTGTACTTCTTAATCCCTTCACCTTTTTTACCCAGCTCCCTCAACCCTCCACCCCTCTGGCAATCATCAGTCGGTTCTCTGTATCTACGAGTCTGTTTCTGTTTTATTTGTTTGAATAGTTTGTAATCAGCATTTACTTTTTTGTACTAAGTCTTTAAAATCTAGTGTGTAGTTTTTAAGTTTTTCTTTTCTAATTACATTTGAAATTAAAAATTACTTTCTATTAGTTTTAGGTACACATCATCGTGGTTAGACAGTTACATGATTTACAACGTGATTCCCCCCATTAATTTACCCACCCAACACCATATCTAGTTATTACAATATTATTGACTATATTCCCCATGAGTATTGTCTGACTGCCAATTTGTACTTCTTAATCCCTTCACCTTTTTTACCCAGCTCCCTCAACCCTCCACCCCTCTGGCAATCATCAGTCGGTTCTCTGTATCTACGAGTCTGTTTCTGTTTTATTTGTTTGAATTGTTCTTTAGATTTCACATATAAGTGAAATTGTATGACATTTGTCTTTCTCTGTCTGACTTATTTTTGACTTAGCATAATACTCCCTAGGTCCATCCTTGCTGTTGTAGATGAAAAGCTTTTACTCTTTTTTGTGATCGAGTAATATTACATCATATATATGTACTACTGCTTTTTTATCCACTTGGGCACTTCGGTTGCTTCCATATCTTGACCATTGTAAGTAGTGATGTAATGAACTTCAAATAACCATTTTGGGTTTCTTCACATATGTACTCAGAAATGGAATTGCTGAATCATAAGGCAGCCCCATTTTAAATTTTTTGAGGAAACTCCATACAGTTTTCCAGAATGGCTGCACCAATTTGCAGTCCCACCAACAAAATACAAGGGTTCCCTTTTCTCTACATCTTAATAAACACTTATTGTTTATAGATTTATTGATGATAGCCATTCTGACAGGTGTGAGATAATGACTTATTGTGGTTTTAATTGCATTTCTCTGGTGATTAGTGACATTGGGTATTTTTTCATATGTCTATTGGCCATATGTATGTTTCTTTGGAGAAGTGTCTATTCAGGTCCTCTGCCCATTTTTTAATTGGGTTATTTGAATGGTGTTGAATTGTATGAATTCTTTATAAATTTTGGATGTTAATCCCTTATCACATATACCATTGGTGGATATCTTCTTCCATTCAGTGCATTGTCTTTTTGTTTTTTTGATGGTTTCCTTTGCTGAGCAAAAACTTTTGGTTAGATCTAGTCCCATTTGTTTGTTTTTTTATTTTGTTGTCCTTGCCTACGGAGATATATCAGCAAACATATTGTAAGG